GCCAGCCCAGGCTGAGGGTCAGGCACCCTGGGATTCTGGACTGGGGGACTATTTGGGAGTCCATCTCCAGAGTATCTCACAGAGATCAAGCAAGTGGTCCCAAACTCCATCCCAAGATAGCCCCAGAGTCAGGAACAAAGGTAGTCATGGGCCACAGGGGCAGCGAACAGTGCCCACTTTGGCCAAATACCATGAGACAACTTGGACACCTACACAGGGCCATGGAGTGCCTGGAACCTCACACTCGGGCCTGAGGCTCAGAGAGGAATTTCAGATATTACGGTCTCATGATGGGAACTGCAGATGTTGGTGTCTGTTCCTCACTACAGGAACAGAGATGCAGTGACCTGGGGTATACTACAAGTATTTAGAAAGATTTCCCAGGATGAGGACTGAGGTGGGCAAGGCCAGCCTCCTCCTAGGAAATCAACCTGGGACCACAAAGTGCTAGGCTGGTAGGTGAGAGGGAACTGTGTATGTGTCTCTCCAGAATATTAGAACATTTTATCACTGGGTTCCCCGCCTTCAGGCTCACCTTTCATACTGTGCCAGAATGCTTACTAAAGCCTAGCCAAGACTCGGCCCTGCCTGTCCCCTGTAAAGGCTTCCATTGTTCCTACAAATCCTTTGAGCTGCTCAGCCCTGCGGCATGAGCCCTCGCTGACGTGGCCCCTGATATCATCTTTATCTTTTGACTTTCCCTCCTCCCTTGGTTTGAATGTAGCATTCCATTTGCATGTCTGGTACAGACCAGATTCCTGGTGCAATACATATTCCTCCCTCTGCCTGGAATGTTCTTCTTTACCCTGTCTACCTCATAAGCCTGAGTCATCCTGCTCAAGTATCACCTTTCTTATGGAGACTTATCTAGCCAGCCCCAACCTGTTGCAGGGAGAATGCTAGACCATGTTCTGACCTTCTCTACCAGCCGCATTGCAAGGGAAGGAGAGGCCTTGCTCTGAGGACAGAAAGGGAGTACATGCATATGTGTTCTCTTGTAGAGAGTTAAGAAAGAATAGTTATAGAGCAGCAGCATGGCCATAAGCAGGGACTACCTACTGTCATGAAGGCCCCATCCTTATGACTTCATCTAACTCTAATTACCTCCTAAAGCCCTAACTCCAATTACTACCACCCTGGGGCTTGTATATGCCAAAGAATACCAAAGAAAAACCAGAGCTGGACATTTGTTAAAGTGGTAAAACCAGATTTTATTTGGGACTATTGCAATAAGGAAAAAGAGACCTCAGCATAGAGCTGGGCTCGATTCCAAGCACAGCATGGGCCAGTGGGGTCTTAGAGCTGTGGAGCAGGTGGGGGTTGGTGGATAAAAACGTAGCAAGAGGAAACATCAAGGGTAAGGGGCATTCTTGCTGAAGGTAGACCAGAGTGGTCAGATATCACCTGGGCGAGGGGGGAACATGAGGAACCCAATTAGGAATTGGGAGTGATCAGATGGGGAGGCCGGAGTTCTTGCTTGCTGAAATGACTTAGTAGGGCTCTTGCTGAAACTGGATTTTATAAGAAAGTGTGCAGATGGACCTAGGAGAAAGTTCAGGAGCCTGACTCACATCTGGCTCAAGCAGAGAACCCTTGTCACTACTCCCTCATTTTGCTTCTATGTTGAAATGAAAGAAAATAGATTTCAAATGAGTTTTAAAAACACAGATATGTTAAAGAAAATCTCAAATGCAATTGAAAGGCAAATTCAATTCAAAGGCAATTGAAAAGTACCTTTGGAATATGTGTGTTCTATGTGAAGTGCACAAAAGTTTATTCCAGCAAAGATGATTTGGAGGTGCTGAAATGCTACTGGTGTCCAGGTTGCCTTGGCGTCCTTCCTCAGCTTCATGAAAGTCACCTAATAGATAGCACCTAGCAGGAGCCAGCTCACATTTTGGCTATAAGACCCCTCCTCCCTGCTGTTCTAGCTCTGACCCCAGAGAGAGAGAGCTGCCCATTCCCTCTAGCCTGAGGACAGCTTCTCTTCCTCCCTATCCTAGCTTTCTCTGCTGGGTAGCAGTGTCCAATCTGTTCCATTGGGAGTGACAAATAAATGTTGTGATGCTGCTCACACAGATTTCCTATGAGGCAAGTACTTAGACATGACCAAATTTTCTAGACTCTCCTTGGCTGCAGTTTTTCTCAAAGCTCCTGTTTGGCCACATCAGGCCCCTTTTGGAGTGGGCTGCTAAAGAATCCTGTGCCCAGCAGACCAGTGGTCAGAAAGGGTTGCAAGGCAGAGGGATCCTCTGAGTCCTTTTTAAAGGGTGTTGGCAGAAAGCAGCTAGTGGTTAGACAGTGACTCAGCAATATAGGGAAGTTCAGAAAAAGACTTGAAGTAAAAAAAAAAAAGAAAAGAAAAAGAAGAAAAAGGAGTCATTATCCAAAGCTGGTATCCAGGCGATGTGCACTGATGTGGTTACTAAAAGGTTGTCATTGAACTATTGAGATGCCTTAGCACTGTTGTGGTATGGAAGAAATGTGTGTTGTTGAAGCCCCAAGCTCCAGTGTGGTAGTCGTTGGAGATGGGGCCTTATGATGTAATTAGAGTTAGATGAGGGTCATGAGGGTGGGGCCTTTGCAATGGCGTTAGTGCCCTTATAAAATGAGGAAGAGAGGGTGAGAATTCTCTCCCTCCACCTCTATGAGAGTACAGAGGAAAGGCCTTGTGGGGACCCATTGAGAAGGCTGTGTTTACAAGCCAGCAAGAGAGCCTTCACCAGAAACTGAATTGGTAGCACCTTGGCCTTAGACTCCCCAGCCTCCAAAACCATGAGAAATAAATGTCTGTCATTCAAGCCAACCGTTTATGGTATTTTGTTGTGGCAGTCTGGGCAGACTAAGACTTGTTGCTATATAGCTATTGCCCCACCAACACCCAAGAGCCTCTCCTAGGGGTTCCACAGACACCCCATAATGCAGCACTAAGGGTTGAAGCCTGGCCACTTGGGCCTTTTCAGCTCTGTTCCAGCCCTACAGATAGCAAGTACTTAGATGAGAGTTGGCTGTGCTGCACCAGTTGTTAAATATGTTAAGTAATGCTGAGGTGTATTAAAAAAAGAATAGCCTCCAAATTCTTTGACACTCTTCTCATTGACAGATGGGGTCTGTGTCTCCTTTCTTTGAAGTTGGGGTGGCATACGATGTCTTTACCCAAGAGGGCATGGGTAAGGTGCTGCTCTGTGAGCCCTGACACTAACTCAGAAGGTGATGGCAGCACCTACGTGTCCACTGGAAGACCATGGAGTGCTGAGCTGCTGCATACAGAGTCCAGCTACCCTAAGGCTGCCATGCTGGACATTCCACATGTAGGAGCTCCAGGGATAGTCCCAGGAGAGCCAAGCCTCCCAACCATCTCATCCAGGTGCCCAACATGGAAGTGAAAGCATCCAGATGATTCCAGCCCCTGACCCAGAGTTATCCGAACCGTCAGGCCTTCCCAACAGAGTCCCCAGACTTGGTGGAGCAGAGGCAAGGAAGACTCAGTCCTGGCTGAGTTCCTAACCTACAGAGTCTGTGAGTGTTATAAAGTGACATTTTTATACCACTAGCTCTTGAAGTGCTGCAGTTATAATTGGGATCCCACTGAGCATTGAAAGGTAAGGAAACTGAGACTCAGAGAGAGAGGGAAAGAAAACAAGTGACCATGTCATTGTCATAGAGCCTGAGCACAGCAAAGCCAGAACCTGCTCCCATCTGCAGGAGCTCAGAGCTCCTGCCCCCGATGGGCCTGCTCCTGGGTGTGTCCTCTTCCCAATTTAAGAGGAAGTTTGCAAAGCGGACAATGTTCAGAGGCTCCAAATCAAGCTCTAGGGGGACAGTTGAAGGATTGAGGACATTGGGCTTTGACAACATCTTAGGGGAATTTGTGGGCCTTTTTCAGATACTCAAAATGTTGTTACTGAGTGAGAATAAACATATGGCCCTAGACAGGAGAGTCAAGAGTAATGGGCCTAATGGAGATTTTGGTTCAGTTAAAGGAAGACTCTATTGATCACATGGATGGAAAAATACTAGGCTGTCCAAGGAGGCAATGAGTTCTCATCTTTGGAGGCAGCCAAGTGTACACCAAGCATACCCCAAGTACACCAAGCTGTAGAGGATAGTCAAGCCACAGGCCAGAACAGGACTAGATGACTTTTAAAGCCCCTCCAACCTGAGATATGGGGATTTAGGCTACAAATTAGGAGGTGAGTAGAAACTGACCTAATTTATAAGGTTATCCCTAGGGCTGCTGTGGGCACTGCACATGGGGTCCTCCCACAGACGTGCTTAGGCTTGACTGCTCCCCAAAGCTCTGTTTCTACCAAATTAAATTGATCCTACTCTGGTCATTGCTAAAAATCCAAAGACATTTTGGTGTCAATACAATTCTTTATTATTTCTGAAAACCACAGCAAAGGCAACTCAGCATCTCCAGGTATCTGGTCTTGGTCACTGGTGGGTCAGCATAAGAGTCATGCAGATGCCTTGGCCACGTCCCCTGTGCCATGGAAGGCAAGGACAGCGGATATGCTTAGTTCCTGGGGAAGCCTCAGCCTCCAGGGACACCATGTCCTTAGGTCAGGCCATGCATTTGCAGCGTACTGAAGTATTAGGACCGTGAGAGAGTTTTTCTTCTATCTAGAACATAACATTTTCAGATGAGGATAGAGGCTGATGAATGACCATTAATGGCACCCTGATTGGGATGGATGTGTGTGTCCTTTCTCAGCTGCCCACAGGTGTGTGCTCTAAAGCAAAGGGTCCCTCACATCATGCACACGGGCTGCCTGATAGAGAAGCGGGGCCAGGCTATCTGTATGGCTTGTGTCAGGGGATTCTGTGACCAGTCAAGCTCAGGAAGCGCCTGTCTACGGAGGGAGAAATGGCCATAGCCCTTCCTGCTAAGGTATCTGTCTGGCCAGGTAAACACAAAGGTCAGTGTTGTGCTCACACCTGGAAACAACCTGGGAGGAAGGTGGAAAGGGGAGCCCCAGGCTAGTCCCTACTTCTGTGTCAGAAATACCAGCAGGAAAGCCCTGGAAACTGGGAAACAGAAGGCTGAAAGGCTGGCTGTGGTCCCCCCACCCTGACCCCCATCCATGGCCAAGGTCCAGCAGGCAGGGCCTGGGGGCTCTGGCTTCTTGGCCACTCTTCCTGTTCTTCTGGGCCTCAGGGGTCGCTGCCCACCAGGTTCAGCAGAGCATTCTTGTAGTCACCACTGGTGTCTCCCTGAGGGCAAGAGGGGCATGAAGCTTAGGAGGGGGCGTTGGTGCCATCGGCCAGGTCTTCAAAGCAGCTGCTGCTGTTACTACTAAGAGATATGCTCCTTCATGGGACCTGGCCTGTCCCTCCAAGGACTCCTAAGCCTCAGTCTCCACACTGTGTCATGCCTCTTTCCTTGCTTTTCATCCCAGGTTAATCTTTGTATCCTCTTCTGATTCTCATACCAACTATGTGGGAGATTGATATGGAAAATGAATCACAGAGACAGCTCTGCTCTGAATCAAGGAGGGTGTGTGGGAGGCTCCCTAACCCTGTCAGTTGCCCCAGGGCTCTTCCCCAGGTTTATCTGGGAGCCGGGTGCACCCGACCATGCATTTATATACTCAATGAACATGCAGACCTGGACATGGCTCTGTCATGCACTGAGTATGTGGATGAGGAGTATGAGGAGTTTGAGGTTGCTGTGAGCTGTGATGCTACAGCGCTCTACCGAGGGTGACACTGTGAGGCTCTGTCTCCAAAAAAAAAAAAAAATAATAATAATTTTGTCTACTTTCAAATGTGTGAGTTATACATGGAGTTTTTATACATTTTCCTGTTAATTTCTTTGCAGGAGTTTATAATGCATATAGTCATGTTGGGGACAGTTTTAGCTTTGGCGGCATCTATGGAGAGTGGTTATACTAAAAAGAAAATGTTTGGCCAGCTTACTCATTATGTCAACTGAATTTTCTTAAATGACAACATTAGGCAATATTCCAGAGGGTGAACTTCATGTATCTCTGTAAATTTCTCTGATGCCATAAATAACGTGTGGTTGAAAGGACTCCTGACAGTCAGCAGGTACCGCCTGTGGGTGACACAGCAATGGCCCTGGGCTGGCATGTGCCTACCCCTCCTGCCTTGGAGCCTAAAGCAAACCCAGAAATTTCTCCAGGCTGCCCCTCAGCCTCACTGAACTGCTGCCCATCTTGAAACAGCTCAAAGCAGAATTGTCTTTTAAACATACTGTCAGCTATGTGTTTCTCACGTGGTTTATCATGGTAGACATTTGGAGGAGAACTAGAGGCTTGACTTTGTAGCCAGTGGAGACTTGGGGGTCTATTTGTCATAATTTGACTTCAGCTAATGAAATTGTCAAGGCTTCCATTTGCGTATGTCACCAGATGAGCTATTCCTTTCGAAATGTCAGCAGCATGATAATCACTCTGGATTTTGAAGGCTCCGGAGCGCTTGCTAATTGGAATCTGATTAGGCAATCCATCAGAGCCCATCTGATTTATCTCCTCAAAGCTCTGCTGCCAGGGCTGCTTAATTCTGGACTCAAGTGCTGGGTCTGGATTCCTACCAAATTGCTTGCTCTCATTGACTTCTGGCGTTGTCCCTTCTGCAAGGATTTAGTGTATTTTTAAAGGGGTGACCATCACTCAGATGCAGGGCCAGCTTTCTGGGTGAGGCAGAGAGGAGCCTCTGTGCTGGATCCGATGTGCCTGCTCCCCCCTCCACCAGGCTCCAGACACACTGACTTCCTTGCTGTTCCCTTAACATACCGCATAGGAATGGGCATAAGCGTGTGGTGCCCACTGGGAGCAGAAAGGCACACCTGGCACTGGCCATGGCCTCCAGAGCTCCCAGGAACATCCTGTGAACAGTGGGGCTCAGCTCACCGTGATCATGCTGCTCAGGGTCCTGCCGTACATCTTCTTGAAGTGACTCTTGATAAGGTTTAAGTCAATCTCACTCCTTGAAACAATGTTCCTTATCAGGGTCCCATCACGTGTCCCTGCTCCCTGGACAAGAAAGTGGCAATCAATGACCCTGTCTCGCCTCTCCTGGCCATCTCTAGTGCTGGGCAGATCTGTGTGGTCAGGTCCTGGGGCTTTTAGAGGGAGGGAGATGCAGGAGGAGCCTCTGCTCCAGTGGCGGGGGAGGCAGGAGGAGGAGCGCTCTGGGGGCTCAGGGGCTCCAGCCCTTTAATCTCCTCTTACTCACTGCCCAGGCCAAATGCTCCAAACTGCAGTGTGTGTTTGGTTTGCCTCGTCAAAGGCATTTTTGATTCTAGACACAAAATACTCACAGCTCCAGGGATAGTACTTCCTCTCAGAGCAGCGATAGCATCAGTCACTCTAACTGCCGGCTCATAGGCAGGGCCTTCCTGCTCACTTCCAGCCTGACCAGTCTCATGTCAGCTGGAGCCACAAGGCCCAGGGAATCCTATACCCTCTCTCATTTCTGGGGCAGATGTGGCCACAGGGTAGAGACCAGAGTTTCTGGCATGGATCTTAATTGCAGTGGGTGTCAGTGACCATAAGTCAGAGAAGATAGACATGGACTTTAGTCCTGGGGAATTTTACTTTCTTTTTTTTTGAGACAGAGTCTTACTTTGTCCCCCTGGGTAGAGTGCTGTGGTATCACAGCTCACAGCAACCTCCAACTCTTGGGCTCAAGTGATTCTCTTGCCTCAGCCTTCCAAGTAGCTGGGACTACGGGCGCCCGCCACAACACCCAGCTTTTTTGTTGTTGTTGCAGTTGTCATTGCTGTTTTTAGCTGGCTGGGGCCAGGATCGAACCCACCAACCTCGGTAGATGGGGCCAGTGCCCTACCCACTGAGCCACAGCTGCCGCCCTCATTTTACTTTCTATCTTCAAGTTTGGTTCCAGATAGCAGAAATTCCATCTGATATCAGGGGCATGGGCATCTGCTTTTGTGGCTAGTGCAGACTTTTGGGCAACAGGCAAAGCAAGGGTGGCACCCCTGGCACATGCAGGAAAGCTGAGCTGCTGAGAGTGGCTAAACTTGCCCTGCCTGTGATCCCCAGTAGCAACTCGCTTTCCCCAAAAGGCCAAGTGGCACAATGAGAAGGGCAATGGGACCGGCTTGGTTGAAGTCAAGGCTCTGCCACTTAACACCTGTCTGACCTTCAACTTAAGCCTTAATTTCACCACCACTAGGACGGCAGTTAAGACACAGTCTCACAGGACGGTTGTAAAAGTTCAGTGCCATGCACACCCATGAGTGCGCCTGCTCCAGTTTCCTTCCCCAAACTCGGCCTGCCCTCTGAGAACTGAAACCTTTCTGACTCATAGCAGGTTAAGATAAGAGAAGACCCCAGCATCGAGGATGGTCTCCTTGGCTTTGCAGTTGGTGCCATGTGTGGGGGGACAAGTCAGGGGGCAGATGACAGGACAGTTACCTTCAAGGCATAGTAAAGTCTCTCTGCAAAGTAGCTGTGGAGGTTCCGGGTGCATTTCACTGGCAAACAGGAGAACTCTGTTAATGCGTGGAGGTTGTGGGCAGCATTGCATACTTTATTTATTTATATCTTGCCTCGGGGTCAGCACTGTGCCAGGTGGGCTGGGAAGGTCCAAAGCCCCAGAGCAAGAGGGCAAAAAGGAGAGATGCTCTGGGGCCCCTGGGGTGCTTCTGGAGACACCAGCTCAGGCCCATTCGAGGACAACTCAGGTGCATGGGAGCCCCAGAGTTTTCACACTCAAACACAGGTCCTCCAAGAATCCAACCCCTCAGCCGCGCATTAGGTGCATGCCACCCCCATGATGCGGTGGCATGAGTCCATGCACTGAGCTCTTACCGACGGTGAGCATAGCCTCCTCCAGTGAGCCGTGGGTCTCACTCTTGATGCTGTCCTCAATGCTCTTATTGGCGATTTTCTCATATTCCTCAAACACTGTAGAGAGAGGACTCTGCTTTGGGGATACTCAGACCTCTGCATGACACCCCCCAGAGTCTTGGATCAGAAACTGCACATCCATGTGCCATCCTGACCTCCCACTTGGAGACCAGGGAAAGAGCCCGTGGCTCCCTGATTCTCTCCCCAGCTCCAAACTCGGCAGGGCTGCAGCATGAAGGAAGAGGCTGCAAGCAGGGTGCCTGGGGGCCCCAGCACTGTGCCCCCTCCCCGGTACCTCTCATCAGGTGAGTGGCACTGCGAGTGCACAGGATGGTGATGAATTTCATCTCATCAGTTCCGCGAATCTTCTCGCCTGCCGCATACAGATCCTAACATTGGGACACCATGACAAGCCAGGGAAAGAGAGTAAGAAGGTGAGGGATGGAGCCCCAGAAATCCAGAGTTGGGGCTGGAAGTCAGCCTCTGGACACTCTGCCAGGCCAGCAATCTCCTCTGCTTGGCCATCTCTTCTTCCTCCAATAGCTATGGCTGAAAATTTCTTCTCCATGCTGGGTCACATGCTGCTCTAGGAACTGTCCCCCTCCCCAGCTTTCCTCTGCCTCTGGGCAACACTGATCACCAAGTGGTCTGCCAGCAGGCTGACCTCCAGAGGTCTGGACACACAGGCCTGGCCCCAAGCCCCAGTGTTCCCAGTAAGTGGCTGTTCCTGCCAGGATGGAGTTCCAGCACCTCCACCCCAAGTCCTGCTCCTTCTCCTAGAGTTTCCCCAACACTCTCATTTTCCTCCTCAGACACCAGAGGGAAAAGACCTGCAGGGAGCTGAGCCAGGTGGGTCCCAGCTTTGTGTCAAAGAATGTTCCATTGGGCAGAGGGGCCGAGCCCAATGGCAGGAAGAGAGGCCATGTGGCCAACAGGGCACAGCTTTACCTGTGCATCTTGGAGGGCCAGTCCTGGGTCCACAAAGCTGCTCACATCATCTCTGCTGCCCTAGGAACAAGGGAGGTGGCTCTGTAAGGCAGGCTGAGTAAGCAGAACAGCCGGGGCTGAGGGGACGGTGCAGGCTTGGGAGTAGGCAGGGTTCTGCTGCTTTCTGGCCATGGGTCTTTCATTAAGCCAGTTATTCCCTCCAAGCCTCAGTTTTCTCATCTATACAATGTGGGTGGTCAGGGCTGCCTCTCAGGGAATGGGCGGCTCAGTGAGCTAAGGCAAGCGTGGCCTGGCACAGGCCTACATCAGGGACCTGCTCTCTTCCCACTTCCAGGGTGTCCTCGGGTGGCTGAAGGCAGGACAGGTGAAGGGCCTCTGCTGTTGAGACCTTCCAACCATCCTGAAATGCATCCACTGAGGCCAGGCCTCTGGGGCTGTCCCATGTTCCTGCCCCAGCCCAGCAGCTCTGCTCAAGGGCTGGTCCCTTGGGTGGGGCTGTCAGGATGCCCAGGAGCCTGGGCTGAGATACCTGCAGGAGGCACACCAGGATCCTCTCCAGGTAGCCACTTGTGTCTCCTTTGATGTCCTCCTCCAGGCTGGACCCGTAGTCTGCGGGGAACCAGGCCCATGAGGCATAGGCAGAGACCCGGGATCTTCTCAGGGCCTGTTGTCCTCCTCCCAGCCCTGTTTCCCACACTTATCCTGATTAAAGCCTACTAGGAAGGACACACCCTTGACACAGGGTGTGGGTGCCATGCCCAGGTGTCCACATGGCAGCTGTTTGTTACCTGGGTGGTCATTCAAACCTAAATGCGACATGGATGCCCAACCCAGCTCAAAGCGCAAAGGTGGGCCAGGTCAGAGAGCCAGGCCAGGCTCTCTGTTCAAGTTCCATTTTGTCTCGAGGTTTAGCAAAATCAAAGCCTTTGGTCAAACCCCCCACCAGGTATACACCATGGAGGATGTGTACTGTACAGTATGTCACTACCTCCCTTATAACAGGGCCTGGTAGTCACCTGGTTTAATCTGTGCCCAGCCAGGAAGGGGCCAACACTGTCAACTGATGACACAGCCTGTGGCCCTCAAGGGTAGAGAGTTTAGCTGGGTACACACCTTTCTCCCTAGCAACTGGTGAGCTTACAGATTGGATTTGAGTCACGTCCAGCTTCACTGTCAGACATGGGTCTTAGCACACTGTACGCACTCAGCACCCATGGCTGGAAAAGGTCCCAGACTGTCCTTTCAGATCAAGAGCTTGTGGCTACCCCCAAGTGGCTCTTTACCTCAGGTCCATGTGTCCCTGCCCCTTTGCCAGCCCCCTCACCTTCCTCATATGCCTTCATTATCTCCCGCAGCTGGTTCTTGGTCCGAGAGGCCAGGAGCTCAATGATGACGCCCTCCTTGGTTCCTAAGCCCTGTGAACAGAAACCTCTGCCTGCTGGAGCTGCTGGATGTGGCCCCCTGCTCTGTTTACACCCTCTTTTCTTAAGAGCTCTGAGCCTCAGGGAGGACCTTCTCTGATGGGGGCTTCTGCTGGAGGATGTTACCGGGGAAAACACAGGGTGGTCTTCAGCAATGGACACTGCAGGCGAGTGCCATGGTGGGAAGCTCTGTGTAGCTCTGCCTCCCTGACAGGGTGTCTCAGACAGGTCACTAAGCAGCCCATCTGTGGATGAGGGTATGAAGCTGACCCCATTCTGGAGGTGCTTTAGAGATTAGGATTGGCAATGTGGATGTCCACACAGAATGTGTTCTTTCAACAGAAATAGTCACTGTTACTGGGTCTCTATTCTATCCTTTTTTTTTCTTGAGACAGAGTCACCCTCAGTAGAGTGCTGTGATGTTACAGCTCACAGCAACCTCAAACTCTTGGGCTTAAGTGGTTCTCTTGCCTCAGCCTCCCAAGCAGCTGGAACTACAGGCGCCTGCCACAATGCCCGGCTATTTTTTGGTTGTAGTTGTCATTGTTTGGCAGGCCTGGGCTGGATTTGAACCTGCTAGCTCCAGTGTATGTGGCTGGTGCCCTAGCCACTGAGCTATAGGTGCTGAGTCCCCATTCTGTCTTAATCTGCAAAACCAAAAGGAGTGACAGAAAGGAAAGAGAAGCCCAAGGAGCCTGCACGGGACTGCAGGGGCAGTTTCCAACTCCACTGCACTCTGATGTAGTGCGATTCTGAGGTTACGGTTTTGGCTTCATCGCAGCCATCGGGCATGTCAGGCGGGGTCAGAGCATCCTGGTTGGGCAGCAGTCTCAGTAGCAGGCTGCAAGCTCTGTGGGCTCAGCTGCATCCCAGGGCCATGCCAGATGGTCCTCAAGGGAGCCCAGAGTTGCCAGTGCCTGGACCCTCAAGCCCTCCACCCCCCAGCCACTGGGAGTGTTTCTGCCCCACCCTGCCCCACCTGCCTAGTTACCTTCATGGCATCATGCAGCTCCTTGGCCTCGTATCTGTATGGCGGGTACATGAGGGCCACGATGAGCCTCTCAAACTTGCCACTCAGCTCTGACTTCAAGGTCTCGGTGAGATCCTGATGCGGGAAAAAGAGAGGCCGTGACATACTGTAAGCCAGGCACACCTGGGTGCAGGCAGCCGGGTGGTGACCAGGCTGAGGCTGGATTTCGAGGGGGCCCTGTTGTGCACTCCCTGGGATTTCTTGGGATGGCTCTTCCTCCCCTCTGAGCATCAATGTCCTCAATCATTAAACAGAGACTACGGCACCCCTGCTCTCTCCCACTGCCCAGGGGGTTGATGGACAGGTGTGTGCCACTCAGCTCAGCACTCGATGTAGTGGTGGGCATGTCATAAGCCTTCAACAAAATAAAATTGCCATTTGTCAACAGACTGCAAGCTCTGAGGTGGCATCTCCATTAAATGCCTGTCGCTTGGCCCACAGTCACTCAGTGAATGAATGCAAGGATGAATTAGGATCTGTTTCACGTGTGTCTCCTTCTGAGGGCTGATGGCTGTACGAGGAGCCATAGGACCACTCCCGGGGAGCCGCACAGAGCAGCAGGGAGGTCAGGGCCTTTGCCAGGCTTGGATATAAATCCCAACCTTGCTGCTTGTAGGCTCTGGGATCTGGGGCAACTTTCAACCTCAGTGTCCCAGAATGCTGAATGCAGAGAGTAAAGCATAATCCTGAGGACTAAGAGAGAGGGAGACTATAAAATGCACATTGGTTTCTCCAAGGGTTTCATTACTGATCTTTCTTCCTTGAACCTCCAAACTAATGATTTGAGCCAATGGAGGCTTCCAGGTGACCATGGCTATGCCTTTATTCCTGTGTTTACTGAGAACCCCCACATATCAGGCTCTGCCCTAGTGGTGGGGGACAGTTGGGAGAACAGTGGATCCAGCCTGCTTGCCCCCTGCCCTTAGTCTTCAGGGGCAGAAAGGACAGGATGTGAGCACATGAGGAGAGTGCCCAGGCCACAGAACAGAACAGAGAAAGACTTAGAGAAAGGCCTGTGCGTCTGGGTTGGGGGAAAGAGAAGGGTGGAGGAGGCTCAGGGAGCAGGACGAGCCAAGCCTGGGGGCAGTGAAATGGCTCCCACAGGGGCCCTGGGGACAAGTGTGAAGGAGCACAGTGAGGGAGAGGAGGAGACAGGAAAGGCAGGTGCTGCCAGGCCTCTAGGCAGCTATAAACAGGGCTGCCAGATAAAACACAGGACGGCCAATTAGGGTGGAATTTCAGACACATAGAGAATTGTTTTTGGTGTAAGCAGGTCCCGTGTGCCTGTGTTACCAGTGGGCTGGCTTAGAGAAGGGCCTGGTCCAGGTGGAGATATGTCCCAGGCTGCTTCCTCCTTGCCACCTGCAGGTCCCCAGCACCCCCTCACCTTGCCGTACTGAGCCTTGAAGGACTTGGCGATCTGCTGCCGCTGTATATTGCTTCTCTTGGTGAGCACATCAATGATGACCTGCTCGTTGGTCCCTGTGGGGTACACAGTGTCAGCAATCCCCTACTTCTAGGGCACTGGGCAGGGTTGGGGAGGGGGAAGGCAGCTGCTTGGTGGCTGAGCAGCAGGGACAGGCCACTTGGATAGCTCCAGACACATCATTTTCACAGTGTGAACAACACACTTAGGAAATCCACCTCCCCATTTCCCATGTCACCTGCACCCACACTGTGCTGGAGTGTGGCCAGGTCCAGCCTCACAGTCATAGACTCTGAGGACCAGGTGGCTCTGGACATCACCCCTGGGGCTTTGGGGCCTGGCCAAGTGAGATCTCCTGCCCTGGCCTCTTTTGCGTTAGTCGTAGCAGGACTAAAGGTCCAAACTCTGGATCCGAGGCCTGGCCTGGCTACTCCTCTCCCTGAGCCTCCATTTTTTCTCATTTGGGAAGTGGAGAAAATGGCAAAGATTTCACAGAAGGCAAAGGACATAAATATGTTGCATAGGCTTGTCTATGAATGGTAGGTTCATTAATGCCCAAATTCATCAGGTAGAGCCAGCTACAGGGTAAATCCTGCCTGGGGTTGTATCAGGGCAGGGACATTTAAATCTGGATGCCAGCCAGCCCTTGCCCTCATGCAGGGATGCGGGGGGGTGGCCAGGTGCATGGGACAAGGGGCCCTGGGTCAGCCTTATAGAACTCACCTCCATACCTCATGCCACACGGCTATACCAGCACCATCCCATTGGGTATTCATGGTGACACATAGGGTACAGTGTTTGTGAGGATATTTCATAAGTGAGAAAGTTCAGACTGATGGTGGAAGTCATGAGGACATAGCAGATATTGACCACTGCTGGGGAAGCTGGGGCCTGTGTGATTTTCTGGGTAGTGAAGTGAGTCTTAGAGCATTTTAGGGATATGCTAACACTCTGGCTGTCCCTCATCACTAGGATAACCAGACGTCCTGCTTTTGGCGGGACAGTTCTGCTTTTTATCAACTTGTCTCACGTCCCGTGGCATTTTAAGAAAGTCCTGATTTTTGGAAAGAATGCACGAACGGGTGGGAGAGAACAAGAAGGGAATATATGGTTTTCAGCTGCCATGTGGCTATTTCGCCAGAATGTGAGTTTTATATTATTTTTGCTAATTTTATAATGTTAAACTGTAATAATAACAAATAATTGCTGAGAAGTGATTATTGAGAACTGCTTATCAAAGTTTGCATTGTTGTCAGGCCCTGCCCTGTCCTGTCCCCTGCCACGCCCCCAGCCTTGCCCCCGCCCCGCCCCCCAGCCATGTTGTCCCCGCCTTACCGATGTTAAAATCTGGTCACCCTACTCATCACCCACTTTCCAATGCTGTGAGTGGAGGGGTTTTGAGTGGAGAGGTGAAGCCCCAGAGAGGCCCAGCCCTCCCATGGCCAGACCAGGGATGCCTACTCACCGATGCCCTTCATGGCTTTGTAGAGGTTCTCTGCGTCAGGGTCTGGGTTGAAGTGGGAGCTGCCCTTCACGGTGACACCCTCTTGTTCAACCTGCAAGACAGCCAGGCCTGTTCACAGCTGGAAGGGGCTGGGAAGGCGGTGCATGCTCCCTGCCCATGTTGTCACCTGCCTGCAGAGTGAGCAGCTTCCCTGGGCTCTGAGATTAGCAGACTCTTGCAGGCACCAACACAGCCTTCCAGCTCCTTGGCCAACAGGCTGGAGTGGCCTTGCCAGAGGGTGTGAGGAGAAGCCAAACAACCTCCTTTGTCCCTGCCCTGGCACATGGGAGTGAAGAACCATCATAAACAACTGGAAGGGACAGACCCTCCCAAAGCTAAGAGAAAAACGAGCCCCGAGTAAAGGCTTCCTGCAGCTAAATGTGCTGAGAGTGTGAGGACGAGCTGGGAGGCTTCTGTTTCTGAGAAATGGTTTGTGCATAGTTTTTCCTCTTCCTGAGGAGTGGGGACTTACAGGAACTTAGGAGGGGGGCCCAGCTGAGCATCCTGACAGCTCAGGGTGTTTGCCAGTCCATAGAGTCACAGGGCTCAGAGGGTTAGGTTCAGAAAGAACTGCAGGCTGCTCTGCAGACTGTGAAATAAACCAGATAATCTCAGTACTTGGGCCCTTGACATTTAAGGCTTGCCTGAGGAATCTTAAACTTACACCCTGTGGAATTTCTTAGATGCTCCAGATAGATGATCCCTTATTAAGTATATTTTGGGTGAAGGATTGTAGAGGTTATAGGGGGATTAGATAAGGGCACTGAATGAGAGGAAATCAGATTTTAGTCTCATTGAGTCTGGTTTTCCATTCACCTCCAATTCCCCATCACCATCTGCTTTCTTATGTACCCACCACCCATCAACCTGTCTATCCATCCATCTACCTGTCCATCCACCCATCCATCCATCCATCCATCCAAACCCTGGGTTAGACCCTGAAAATACAGAACAGATTCTTGTCTATGGTATAATCTGTAAGGATTTTCCCTTTGAGTAAGAGGTAAATACCTTTTGTACCTTCTACCCTTCACTTGAATTTCAAATGTCTGGTGACAGGTCTTCCTGACTCATTTCTTAGCCTTATGTTTCACAGCAGAAATTGTTAGAAATAATTTCTGTGGAAATTCCATCCATGTCTTCCCAGTTGCTGGCCCGTGTGTGCACACATCACGGTACCACCCCTCACTTGCAGAGTCGCGTGCTGATGCTGCTCCTGTAGTGACCTGAGCACATCGTATGCACCAGGCGCTTTAAATGCAAAGCTTGCCTAGGTGAGTACTGATGCCCCACTTTACAAACAAGGGAGCGGGGCTCCCTGAGCTCGTCCAGGTCGGGCAGCTGATAAGTGTTGGTGCTGACACTTCCCCCACAGCCTGACTCAGAAGCCCCGCTCTGCTGACCTTCCCCACTCCATCAATACATGACTCAACCTTTCCCAGGGAATGAGTTTTCCTGGAACGCTTCACCGAAGGACTCCCTCCCCACAGGAATGCAGCTCGTCTGGGAATGTGGGTGGAGGAACATTTCAGCTTTTGGTGCTGAACTCTGGGGACCCTCCAGAGGGGCTTCCCTTTGCACCCATGTTGGCATTCAGGGGGCTATAGTGCAGCAGCGACTGGCTAGGCCATGTGGCCAAGTCACTAGGCGTGCCCTGTTTAGCAGGTGTGAGGGAGGGCTTAGATGACAGTGTCTGTAAGCAGCTCCCTGGATGGCTCTGACCTCCTCACACCAGGAAGTCTCAGACTCAATTCCCACTCTAAAGTTTTAGAAAAAGAGCAGTGGGCAGTGTTCTTGGAATCAGCCTGGATGGCAGCTGGAGTAGAAAGGAAGCTCCAGAGGTTTCTATCCCCTACAACCCCTTGCTGTTGGCGGAGGCTCAGCCTCAGGCTCCCAATGGGTTTGCCAGGGGCTGCCAGTGCGGCCAGGCACATTTTCACTGAGAAGGTGACTCAGACAGCCTGTGACTTTACATCTGTAACACATTCTGTGAGGGGTGCAGGGGAGCTGCCACACCTTTGCCTTCCTGCCATGGGGCAGCCCAGAGAAGCTGGGAGACAGACTATTGTTGATAGTTGCTACAAGAGAAGCCCAGAGGGGGCCACGCCCTGGAGAAGGAGAGGACAGGCACACCCTAAAGTCAGGGCTCCCTCTTGTGGCTTTTCATCCCCCCCAGTCCTGTTCCTGGTCCAGCTCTGTGCCAGGGGACATTTAGTCTTCCTTGGCAGCTCAGCCAGTGGCAGGTCAAGCCAGCTCTGGCCTGGGTACTGGCTGGCCCCAGCCATAGCTCGGGCTCTGGAATCAGGCTGCTCAGATCCCATCCCAGACCCTGACACTTGCTAGTGTGGCAACCCCAGGCAGCTGTGTAGCCTACTGGTGCCTCTGTTTCCTCCTCTGTGGGTAAGGATACTGGCATCTACATCATAGGTTTGATGAGGTTCAAGTGGGATACTGAATGTGAGGTGCTCAGAGGTGTATCCAGCACACAGTAGGGGCGCAGTGAGTGCTGTTGCTATCCTGCCACTTTGGCCATGTCCCCATGAGAGGCTTCTTTGCCCCTGCTCCACTGGGTGCAAGGTCCAGTATCAGGTTGCCTTGGCCAGTGCCCAGCTTTGGAAAATGCCCAGCACTGGGCTCTCCCTGCCATATCCACCTTCTCAAAGGCAGGTTCCCAGCAGCCAGTTTGAAGCTGGAGGCTGCTGTGGCTCCTTGAACGGCCCTGGGCTGGCTGCTTCCCTAGGGACTGGGACAGCTACCCCACCTCACCTTGGCTTCCTCTGTCCAGGACCTGTCCAGAGCCTAGCATGTCTGACCCTGAGGACCCCCCCTCGTTGTAACATTTGTGACTGATTTCCTGAAGCTGGACAAGCCTGGGTCCTCCATGAAAAGTCACAGAGAGCTTGGGGCAGGTGCTGGAGCGACCCATGTTCTCTCTGCCCTGAGCCTGTTGGCTATGGGACCTGACCAAGTTGTTCAAATTCTCTGAGCCTTTTCCTCTTCTGCAAAATAGAAAGTACAACCCCTGAGCTGCCTGAGGATGAAAAGAGGAAGGCGTGCCTGCCCAGGAGATGTCACCTTCTCCCCTACTTCTCAGTATCCACCTCCCCGGCACAAAGATGGCCTTGGAGTCAACAACAGATGGAAAGCTCCTGAGAACATGTAGGTCAGCAGTGCTGTCCTGGCCATTATGGAAGGCACAGAGATTCCAGCACAGTGGGCAGATCCTCCTGGTCACACTCCTTACTCCCCAGTCTTGACAAATGAGCACTACTGATCCCTCGAGGCCCACAGTTCTCCTGTGGCCTCAGGTGTGGGCATCGATGGTCCCCAAACATCAGCATATTCAATCAGGGTTCTCTGGTGCTCAAAGCCTTGCAATGGCTCCTCATTGCTCTTAAGGTAAAGCCCCAACTCTTTAGTCTGCCCTTTAGGGCCCAGCCCAGTTGCTTCCCCAGGTCCATGTCCTCCCCATCCAGCACCCTGAAGCTGAGTGGAGCTGCTTCCCTCCAAAGCCAGCTCTCCACCCTTCTCTGCCTTTGCACACTGTTCCCTCTGCAAGGAGCAGTCTGATTGTCCCCAAACGCACATGTGCACACACACTGCACCATGATCTCCCTCCCTCAAGTGGCTGGACTCCACTCCTGCAGGGGCCCTTCCTCTGGACTCCTCCTGCTTCTCAGCTTCCCCCTTGCATTTCAAGTTTTCTTTATCTGCCTGTCTCTCTAGCTCAGCTCCGGTCCCTGCCTTGAACACCACTGGGCCTGGGATAGCCAAGGTTTGTTCTTATTTTCTCTCTCGTGTGCTGGAACCCGTCTCTCTCCCAGCTCCCACTTACCCAAGCTTTCCACCAGGCCATCTTGTTCACCTTGTGGCCACCTTTTGCAGGGGGACAGAGACACAGGTCGGCCTTTACTCAGAGACACCACACGTCCGGCTCCCGCTAGACCAGGCCATACAGTGGGGTGTGGTGCTGGGAACAGGCTCCAGGCGGCACCCAGCGCCACCCCTGCCCTCTGACCCCTCCCCTCCACTCCCTCCTGTGGCTCCCAGGCCCCACCCAGGCTCTGCCTAGGCCTGCACTGGGGTGTTACGCCACTCACTGCTCACTGGGCTGTGGCTGTTACACAGACTGGAAATTCTGAGTCCAGTTTGAAAGCAAACACAGCTGTAGTTTTGTGAGGTTTTTACTAGACCTCGCTCGTATAAGAAAGTAAATACACTATGCTTCCCTTCCACTTATTGCCATTTGTACACAATGAACCATGCAATGGGAGCTTAGCAGAGTGACAATAGTCTCTATTCACTGCAGTGTCACTATGTCTAGACACCTCTTAGTCACATCACTAACTCTGTCCTCTTGAATCTTCCCTTTAGTGTGAAGAAGGTATGAGCTCCACGTACTAGAACAAGACACAGAGGCTCTGGTGTCTAGATCATTTGCCTGAATCCCACTTCTTGTGAGGAGCAGAGGTGCCATCTGCCAAGTCTCTGGCCTTGTAGGCTCCTGATCTCCGCTGGGCCCCATTAGTCACTGGCTGCCAAGGAGAGGAGGAATCTCACTGGATAGGTTCATTATGCCACTCCGGGGTTTGCTCACCCTGGGGTCCCTGCCTAAGATGCTCCCCCAGCACTACCCTCTTCATGCCACCCCCTAACCCAGCCAGCTCCTACCCACCCTTCAGCAAGCACATCCTGCCTGGGGGAGCCCCCCTCCATCCCAGGAAGGCTCTCACAAACATAGCCATAGGGGAGTGATTTTGTTTCAAATTCAGTGAAACCTTGGAGGTGACAGGTTAAGAATTGTCCTGGATGCAAAACACTGGGTTTTCTGACCCAGGCCCAGTGCTCTTCGCTCCAAGAACACAGCAGGCCCCAGGCTGTTTCTTCTGGAAGTGTGGGCAGGTGTGGGTGAGGGTGGAGCTGGGCCAGCAGGCAGAGGCCAGGGGAGGTGACCTTGCCCTGGGCAGGCAGCCACTGCCCAAAGGCTTCCCAGAGAACTGGGGTGCTGTGCTGTATACAGTGCTGGGAGATGCCTTCCAAAGAGGATGACGGCAGCCACCTTTGGTCTGCTGGACTGATGAAAGGCCTGCTCCTCTAGGTCTTTGAGCACCTGGAATCCCCACCCTCCCAGGGAGCCCTGTGGGCAGGGAGCTTAGCTGCTCCTTGCACTGTGTGTGTATGTGTGTGTTTGTGTACTTATGGCCCGTGCTGGGCCATGAGTATGGGTGTTTAGGGACAGTGAGTCTGGGGACTGGGTCTCTTCCAGAAGAGTCTGGCCAAAGTCTACTGTGAGGGTGACCTGAGATGGGTCCCCTGGAAGCAACCACAGTGAGGAGGGTCCTGGAAGAGTCCAGAGAGAAATGCCGGCTCCAAGACTGAGACAGGCTCTGGAGCGTGGTACAGAGACAATGGCAGACACAGCCCTCTGATGTCCACAGTGCAGCCACCCAGTGAGACCAGGAGAGGCCTGGCCCCCCTGTCCTCACACCAGCTCCTGCAGCTGGGGACCCACCTTCTTTTTGACACTTCTTCCTCACCTGATTTTAGGGATAGCCAGTGCCCCTCACCAGCCCTTCTGGTCTCTCTTCTGCCACCCTCACTGTGCCTAGAACTCCTCCCTGGGCAGCCCTCCTTCCCCCTCCCCATCAGTGGTTCTGGACTCTGGCTGCCTTTTGGGATCACTTGGGCACATTTTAACTCCTTACAGCCCAGAGCCCAGAGCCCTGAGACCTGCTCCCTTCCTTGGCTCAGGTGACCACCCTGGCATCACCTATCATGTCTCAGGTTGCCAAGGGGTTCTGGTATAATGTGGCATCCTCACATCCTGGAATCCCTTACCTACCCACTCTGCCTTGGGCCTGTTTTCCTCTCCTGGGTGGCTCTGAGATGACTGACAGGACTAACCATGGGTTTCTGGTCCATCCATTCCTCTGGATTATCCAGCTGATGATGGTCACATGATATCACCAAGCCAGGCCAGAAGAGGGTACTGAAGCCACACTGCATCCCCAGCCCTGCTGAATGGCACTGGCCTTGGACCAGACAGAACTTGGCAGGCTGGCTAAATACTGTGTGCTGGGTCCTCACTGGAGAAATCACTGCAGCTCACCCTTCTTCCCATTTAGGAAGGCTCTGGAGACAAGGAGGATGGTGGAAGCTGGCACACTCCTAGAGTGCCTGCAACCTAGCTGAGCCACCTTCCGGTGGGATTTCTGAGATCCCCAGACACATGGCACACTCCTGAGTGACAGAATGATGGGCATCTCCTCATTCCTGAGCCTGAGCTGAGTGCGGGCTGCTGGCTGTGCCCTCCTGGCCCTGTGGGAGAGCATATCCTGTCAACATAGTCCTGTTGGCTGGAGGTGAGCACAGAGAGAGGGGTATGGGATCTCTGCAGGAAGACTCCGCTGGGTCCTGAGGGATCACAGGAATCACAAGGCTTGTCAGGGGGAAGCAAATGGGGGTGGCAGAAAGATAAAGGGAGGTAGGGAGGATTTGGTGTGGAGCATGTGTGCATGGGGATGGGGTGAGTGTGCTCATGGACAGGGCATGTGTGCACAGGATCCAGCACGTGCATGTGAGAATGGAGGGTATGAATGGGACAGGGTGTGTGCACAGAGTGGAGCATGTACACGGTATCCAGCCTGCTCCTCCCTAGCAGTCGGCGCCCAAAGGAGTCCCCTTGAATAAATATCACACAGAGGAGGGGAGACACACGCAAAGGCCCCAGCAGGAGAGGTGGGACAGATCCCTTGAGCAGGGCTGCACAGTCAGCAGGGAAGGGAGCAGCAGGGGTGGCAGGGCGGGGAAACTAGTGACCAGCGTAGGCTTGGAGAAATGGCTGAGATGAGCCTGAGTACTCTGACATGGTACTGATGACAGTGAGGAGGAAGGCATGGTGGGGGCACTTTCCAGAAGCCCATAGCAGTGCACAGCAAACTGGGGGAGACCAGGAGAGGAATGAGGAGGGGACAAGTGAGTGTGGCCTGTGGACTGCAGGTGTGTGTGTGGGGGAAGCAGGGGGTCCAGGATAAAGGAGGAAGGGAAGGTGGAGAGATGGTGGGTGGGGTTTGTCGAGCGCGGGCTAGGGTAACTTCCAGCTTCTGTCCTGCAAGAGTGTGGATCGAGGGCCATTTGTGGCCATGCTGAGTCTCTTATCTGTGATGGATACTGTCGGGCCCTGCATAGGTCTCACCCTTCATTCCCCTGGTGTCTGAGTTTTGCTCTTGAAGGACTGATCCTGCCTCCTTCCCCTAAGGAATGTCCTTGAGATGTGGGAGCCCAGGCAGTGCCTGGAGTCCCCCATTGCCTAATTTTGTGTCTGCAGGGTGCCCATGGGAGAAAGGAGTAGGGCCCTGGCTTGGTCCAGTGGACTCAGGACCTCTCTGCGGGGCTTGTGGGTCCGGCCGGCTTCTCTGCCCACCTTCCCTCCTCCCTCCCTGGCCTACTTCCTGAGGGGAGCCCACACACCCTTGTCTTAGGCTCTTGTCTGCCCTTGTCTACTGGGCAACAGGACCTCAGACTCCAGCAAAGGGAGCAGTTAGAGAGAAGGGTTTGGAATTCAGGGGAGGATTGGGGTGGAACCAAGGCTGGTATTTGAGCCACAGGTGTGTATGATGGCTGCCCAGGGAGAACAGAGGGGCATTTGAGGGAGCACAAAGTCACACTGGGAAAGGCAGGGCAGAGGGTATTTGCAGGAGACAGCCTGGGCAGGTGCAAAGGCTACAGGCTGGACACAGGTGAGTGCCTACCAGCCGCTCATGCAAACACTGACAGGGGCCACCTGGAGGCCACTTCAGGCTGGGGCAGCAGGTGGCCACAGAGTGATGGGAGGAAGGCAAACAGTTTGAGTGGGCAATGTGGGAGGGCTGGACGGGAAGGGCAAGAGCCAAGGGGGGTGTGCGGGAGGGCGGATGTGCTCTGAGGACGGAGTCCTTGGGGAGAGTTGAAAGAGGCAGGAGACAGAGGGAAAGTGGATGGGGACTGTGAGAAGAGGCAGAGGAGGGAAGCCTGGCCTAAGTGCAGACTTGACTTTAGTTAGGAAGAAAAACAAAGATAGCCCCCCTCACCCCTTCTCCCTGTCAGCATCTTTAGAGGAAGGAGCAGAGATGGAGGGCACATGGGAACAGGCAGGGCATCCACCCAGCTCTCCTGGGGGGCCTGTGTATTTAGCAGGAGGTGAGATGCTAGGCCAGTATGGGGTGAGGTAGCACAGGTGGCATTTGGGAGGTTAGAAATAGTCATTGTGTTACAAAAGGAGTCAAACCTATGGGAGATACCCAGCCTGAGTGCTGCGGGAGCTCCAGACCTGAGAGAAGACTTCCTGTGCCTGAGCATGAGACAGGTCCCAACCACCCAGGAACACGCTTGCCCCATCCAGAGGGGTGGGTGTCCACCCTGCTCAGCCTGCCTGTCAGGATCCCCTGTCCAGCCCACCGGGAACCTCAGACCCCTGATCCCCCTGCAGATGGCTGATGGGTTCCCCGACTGGTGCTCACTCTGTGGCCAGGATCATTGGCCAACTCAGCCTGTACCTGCAGTGGTGTGGGGGAACGGGAGGAGAGAGGGAAGAAAGAGAGCTTTGTATCGTCCCTTCAACCTCTGACCACAGGGGATAAAAGAGTGAGCTGCCCTGTGTGGAAGCTTCTCACCTGCTCCTTGAATATCGTTTTCCTGTTCATGGTTCTCATCCCAATTGCTGGTGCTGCACCGTGGGCACTGCTCAGGCCTGTCTTTGGAATTATTCCTCCTTTTCTCTTCTGCTCTGTCTAGCTGTGTTTCATTTCTAATTCAATGCCTTTTAGAACTTTGCTTTGGGCATTTAAAAACTCTGTCTTTATTATAATTAACTGTTCCTGCTAGTTATTCCTTCCTTTATTTTTTTTGAACACCTTACATGCATTTATTTGAATGCCCCCTTTAGATTGTCTTATTATCTCC